CACAGCTTTGATCGCGCTTCGGCGAGCCTTGGCCTCGCCACAAATGGCATCGCCGCCTAGGCGAGACGATGTCTGAGTCGATGGTGGGACGTTGGGACGTGTACCATGACGATCGTTTCCTTGTTTGTTATTCCTGTGTTGGTTCTAATTAGAACTTTTGCTTGATTGGACAGGTTCTTTTGACAAACACATGGATATCAGCTATGTAGCAGCTGTCTGGGCGTTTCTAAGAGGGTGTTTCGACGAATTGTCGGTTGTAAAGTGCTCACAACGCACGAGATTTGGAGGTTTGAAGCTTGGGGTTGTAGTCTCTATGGGTTGAGGGTGTAGCTAGGTTCTGCGTCGCAATGCACTTTTCAGGTACACTCCCCCGCAACCTCGGCCGGAACAGTGATCTTGGCTTGCGAGCGAGTTGTTTGGAGTTCCCTGTTTGTCGGTGAGTGGAGAATCCTATGTCCGCGATGTCGGCGTTGGTGGCTGAAATTGCCCTGAGGGCCTCCCCCCCAACCCCGCCCGCCAAAGCCAGCAAACACATGGAGAGAGGTCGCCGCGGCCCTCTACGGCGTGTTCCAACTAGATGGCCACAGCGTCACGATAGAAAGGGTCTATCTACCCGGACCCTCAAACCAGCCTTCCTTTTAAAAAAGCACATCGCCAGATAATCTTTTGGGGCAGTGTCCCCTTTTGGTAGTTTGAGGTGCAGGTACCCTGGGAATGGCTTCGGCTTGACCATCTTGCACCGCAGGCACTTGGTGCCCACGCCGCCGGATGGGCCGCGTACGCGATCTGGGCGGCCAGCTCCGTTCAAGGCCCAGGAGCGTATGGGGTTCAATACAGGGGTCATGATTGTTGGGGTGACTCTTTGGTGGTGCCCCTACGAATTATCACTGGCTGGTGAGGTCAGTTTTTGTTTTCAAGCATTTCGTAGGGGGTGAACGAACCGTTCCCGACGAATTATCAGAACTCATCTAGGGGCAAAGCCTAGGGCCCTCACAACCCAAGAAGGACTCTTAGAACCATCCTGCAGGGGGGCCTAATGATTAGCCCTATCATCTCTTGACCACTAGAAAGTAACTTTGGGTGTCTTGATGCTGGAATCCTGGGGCCAGCAGTATAGACCTCGATGTGTCTCTTCCCTCGGCGTTTTGGCACTACAGTAGGTAACGAGGAGAAACCATCCATGGTAATACCTAGAGGTAAACATACCGAAGGATTCCCTACTGTAGTAGGAACTGGGGTCTCCTCTAGCAGCCGCGGGGGTTGGGTCGAATGAATGAATGTGTTTGTTTGCTCGTGGGTTCGCGTTTTTGGCTTTCATCCCAACCCCCATGAAAGGGGAGCGGGTCCACATCCGTAGTAAGCCACTGGTTGAGACTTGAGTTGGACATCCCACAGTGTCGGTTGGAGAATCGAATTCGAATCGCCAGGAACGCGAGGAGGTGAGGAAAAAGATGGAGGACCGTGACCCACTCAGTCCGCTTGGGGATGTGAGAACAGCTCCCCCCACGCCGGAGTTGGGCCGAGTCGAGGCGCGGTATCTCATTGGTCGGTTGCTCATGACTGTCCCTTTCGGCCTTCAAAGTGGACCCCTGCTCCAAATACCCGCTCTGCAAGGGCTATGTTCGGAAACAAAAAGAAGAAAAACCAACACCTGGCTTTTTCATTCATGGCAAACACCTTTTTTTCCAGTCAGGGGTCAACATCATACCGCAAAAGAGGGTAGGGTTCTGCGATGTCCCGAGGGATGAGACCCTAGGGTCCATCAGCATGTCATTGGAAGCGTCACCAGCAAATGGTTGCAACTGCCTGATGCTTCTCAACCAGACCGGTTTTGACCATCCCACAATCAAAACCCGGGTAGATGAAGGTGAGTAAGGGACAATCCCCTTGCCATCATTCGCTGCGGCCGGCTTCTGAATTCTTTACATTCTGGGCAGACCATTTTAGTACCGGGTTTTGATGCTCAAGTGGAGATCCGGTTCTTCGGGCCCGTAAGCTCCTTGGAAACCCTGTGCTTCAAGAAAGTTCTGCGGAATGCATGGCGTACCCAAACCCTGACGAAAACCAGGGTGTGCCAAAAATTACCGGGGATGAAGACTGAAGACCAGGCTTCTATTGGAACCGAGGCCGGGTTGCAATTTAAAGATTAGCTGGGAATTTGGTTGGAACCCGGGGCTTGCAGCAGTACCAAGGGAGAACCCTGGCTTTCAATATATACCTTCTTCTTTTTTTCTCAGGGTTTCGTCGTTTTAAAATGTACGGAACAAATTGTGGATTTGCGGGCTGGAGCTGCCGAGCTGCCCTAGACTCGAAGGCTGCGCTGTGCGCAAGTGGTTTGCAAGGTAGTCGCGAGAGCCTGTGGACAAAACCTGAGGTCGCACAAAACCCCGCGGAAGGTTTGGCAGCAGCGGGCTTTGGCAGGGTTCCCTATATTTCCCCTTTGGGTGGCTTTGAACATCACCTGTTTGGGCGAACCTGAATCTAGCGAGCTCTTTTTGGTGTGATGTTTATTAATAATGGAACTATCTCGGCAACCCTGCGACTTCCATGGTGTTCAAGTGACCAGCTCAAAAGTGTTTTGTGGACACCACTCCCCACCTAAATATGATGTCCTCCAAAGGGTCAAGTAAAACTCATAGTTAGCCCAAGTCAGACATCTATTTACAGTGTCTTAGCCAGAGAGGCAGCTTAAACCGCATCGCGGGGAGCCTCTGTGATCAGAGACTGAGGTTGTTACGGGTGACGTTTCCTTCCGCGGTGACGTTCGCTCCGTCCGTCCGCGCCCCAGTTGAGGCGACGTCCCGAGCCCGACGAGCCGCAGCACCCGTTGCTCGGGAGCGGGCCGAAGGGTTGGACGGCGACCCGGACCTCGTGAGCTTTGCGAAGCAGCTCGCCAAGCGGAAGGTCTCTGTACAAGGCAACCGCAGCGTGTTCAAGCGCCTTGGCTTCGGGGGTGGCACCGCGTTTCTTGTGTTTATCCCCTGAGAGTTGTTGTTTTTCTTGTTTTTCTTGTTTTTCTTGAAAGGGGGCTTCCGAGACACTGAAATGGGACATGGCGACACCTGTAGAAACTTGCAGTTGGCCCCTATCAATCACTTTCTGTTTGGTGACTTGTGTGTATCCTTTGAGCCAAATGCCAAAAGGTTTGGGCCTGAGCAAGTTAGGTGGAGTTTTCGCTCCAAGCCCCAGCAGAAGTACGCGTCCGACTGCGAGAACGATGGAGCCTCCCAGTCGGGCTGTGATAAGTCTCACCCGAAGGCGCGATGAGAGCCATGGACCTCATCCAAGGGGGGGCGGGGGGGCAATGCGTGGCTTTGGTGTGACAGTGCCCCTTAGACCGTTTTAGGAACAATTGGGTTTTCTGCGAAAAAGATGAACAAGCTTTTGCTCGGGTTGGAACAACTCGCGCCAAATAAATTCCCAGAGAGGGCATGAAGGGCTGGAGAAAGCCGGGATAGCCTCGCCCATAGGCCTCCAGGAGGTCCGTGAGAGAGACGCTCATCGCGCTTTAGGAGTTTCACCCAGCGTGACAAAGGGGCTTTTCTACCAGGCACTCAGCTATGAAGGATGCACACTTGTTTGGGTTGTGACCAATGCATTCCAAAGACAACACACCCATATGTTTGAAACCATGGTGCATTGCCTGTGCCCAATCGTCCTAATGTGCAGAACCATCATCCAGGAAAACTCACTACTTCCAACTACCCGCTTTTTGGGGTGCATGTTAAAAAAAACCAAGTTTATGTCACTGTCCCAACAAGTAATCCTTTTTTTTCTAGTCGGGGGTTGACATCATACCTCATATACTACCCCAAAAATGTGGGCATTTGGAGTGGCTGAGGGACATGCCCGCGAACCCATCCGAGCCGATTGGCCGCGACGGCAAATGAGATGCGCTCCGGGTCCCAAGAGGGCCGTTCTCTTTTTGGGGGTTGCGTTCCCAAGAGCCTCAGTGGTACCAGTCACATATGTGTATATATATATATATGCACCCCCCCCATGGACCCTGGTCCAGGGTCCATGGGGGCAGGGTCCATGGGGGGGGGGTACCATATATATATACACATATATATATATATATATGGAGAGTATGTTTCGGCAAACACCGACATTTGAGAACTGAAGGAAAACTTCCGACGAGTTTCTTTCTACAGTAGGCATCTCTACATACCCATTTTTGATCGTACATTTGGAAACACCTGATCTTTCATGGCAAACAAATCCTGTTTTTCTTGTCCGGGGTTGGCATCGTACTCATACCCTAACACAGAGGGTAATTGGTGTAGCGGGTGGCTCAAAAGTGACGCCAGAGGAACATTGCCCCTTTTGTTGCTGTTCCATATCTAGTTAGAGACCAACCTTTGAGGGGTGTTGCAAGGCGGATCGCAGGCAAAGCGGATCGCTACCAACGCGGATTTCGGACCTTTGGGTTCTCTTGTTCTAGGGTTTGATTCCCCATGTTCTTCAAGCATCTCTATTTTCAGAGCTGATTTCTTGGGTTGCTTTGGGTTTCCTGGACCTCGGAGGCTCCAAAAGCTCGGAGGTTTCGTCATGGGTCCAAGAGGTATGGGTGCACCCGCAAGTGGTGCTTTGGCAGTGGATCCCAGTGCCCCGGTAACCTCCAAAAGTCCCGCAGTTCTTAGGGCTCGACATGTTTTCCCTATTTAAAGCGGGTATTTGGAGAAGGTAGTCGTAGCCACACCCTCCCCATTCTGTTCAGTTATCTTCCAGAAATGGCTCAAAACCCGGCGGAACTGAGTGAAGAGACTGGGGAATGGACCCTTAGAATGGTAGGTAATGAGCCATTTTGCATTTGTTTGTGTCGAGAGTGATTTTGTTGGATACCTACTAGGCAAATGGGATGACGGGTTAGTTGTCCGTAAGCTGCACCCTCAAAACACCCTAAACATGCCAACAGAATGAGGCCATGTCCCTTTCTGAAGGGTAGTTTGAGGGTCCATGTCTTAGTTCGGCTTTTGCCGGAAGGAATTGCTTTGTCGTCGTTGTTCTCGAGTGCTCACACTCCCTGGCACCATTCTTATGTCGCCTCCAGCCATTTTGGCTTCCAAGTCAAAGATCAAGAGCGGCTCCATTCGCTCGGCCCTCAGCCGAGCGAGAGAACGCCTTGCCGCTCGCCAGCGAGGTGAGATTGCAGCAGTGCGTAGTCCGCTTCCATAAACCGAACTTGCAAAGGGGTGATCAATTTGACAGGTGGTTTTTCAACCTTGTAAGAGTAGGTTTGAAAGTCCTTCTAGTTTTGTTGGGTCCTAATTTATTGGTTGTGAAGTTCCTATTCGATATGTGTTTCAGGCCTAGCAGGTGTGGTGGAATCCGTCGCTTTGCCATTTTGGCAACCCCAGCGAGCCTTGCACTTTTGAGGACCATGGTGCGTCGTGCAGGGGGCCCACAGAGAGAGAGAGAGAGAGACTTGTCTTTCGGGTGGTAGCCCCTACCTGGACCCACAGAGACCCTTTACAAAAGGGGGAATCACTCACTCACATTATCATGGGTTGATATATCGAATTTGATTGGTAGTTTGGGTTCGGTAGGTACATGGAACCACCATTTGAAAACTCTGAGGAAAATGGCTTGCCCTTCTTTTGAGGCTTGCCTAGGATCCAAGTTGCTTTGCCACGAGTACCCTTTCAAGTGGAGCAGTACTACCCTCCCTGAGGCTAACTTGGAAGCTCCCAACACCCTTCAGAAGCCTGGGCTCCATTTACAGAGGCCTTCTGGGAGCTTCCATGTTAGTCTGAGGGAGTGTACCCCCAAAGCAGATTTTTCACCGAAATGATTGCCCCTTAGCCCGCGAAGAGACGCAACACCATGGACGCCATCAGACTTTCCTCGAAGGTTCATGCTGGACAGTGCAGCTTTCCTGGCGACTTCTCTACTTGTTGTGATTGGCGATTGGCGATGTCGAGTTTCTCTCTTGTGTTTGGTATCTCCGCGTGCACCTTTGGATAGTCCTGACCTTTTCAAGAATTTTGCCATTTGCATGGTTGTGACACTACCGAATACCGAAGCCTTTAAAGGGTAAATGGTGTGGTATGTCTTCTTCTTATTAGCTGTACTGAAGCTGTTGGCAGGTGCTTGCAAGCTTGCTCAAGACCTTCACTCCTGTTCGGGAATGTGCGGGTGCTTGTCGCAGAAAAACACATTTGTTCCCCAGAAGTAGGCCTTGGCTCCCGTTGGGAATCCTTGCGATGGTTGGCCAAACCTTGGAATGCACCGAGTTTGTTTTCACTGGAGCCTCAGACTGCCTTGTGGCAGTTGTCTATTTCGGGGGGGGCGATGAGGTGTTTCCCTTTGAAGGCTCCTTCTGAAGGCGTCTCAAGAGCTCTCTGGAGGCATGGCGTGTTGTTTTGACAACCTTTGAAGGCTTCTTGCTTCAGGGGGTGACTTTGGCAGTAAAATCATGGGCCAGCTCGGTTTGTCTCTTGGGTTTTCCCTCCCTTGGTGTCTCCCTTTGTGGTTTCCTTGGCACCCCAAGGGGGTCCAAGCAGGGTAACATGCAGCCTCGGAGAACAGGGGTTCTTACTTCCAAAGAGGTGGGGTTTGGTTTGCGAAATTTGTCCAGCTGGATGTGCAGGGTGCTGTTTTGGGTGCTGTTTGTGTGGGCTGTGGTGGCGGTACTGGCATTGCGTGTTTGGTGCGGTCAGGGTGCTGGTCAGATTCTGGTCATGGTGCTGTTTACCGGTGCTTGTAAGAGTGCTGCTTGGCGTGCTCCAGGTGTGGTGGCAGTAGGTTGCTGGTCAGGGTGCTGGTCAAGGTGCTGGTCAGGGTGCTGTTTGTGTGCTTCAGGCGCTGTGGTCGTTTCTGGCGGTGCCTGTTTTGCGATGCAGCTTGGATGCTGTTGTGGGTGCTGGTTAAGGTGCTATCTTCGGGATGTTTACGGAGCCGCAGTTTTCAAGAGCTTTTGGGAAGCTTCCGCTATACCTTCCTAGCAACTGCATCTTCCATTTGCAAATTATATTTCTACGGCCGTGTTACCCAATCTCGGACAGTTTGTTCTTTCCCCTGTTTTGGAATGGATCCACTTAGGCGGGGAGAGCCCTCCTGATCGCGTTGGCCTTGCTCATCGCCTGCGATGTGAAATCCTCGGCGGATTGGGGGATGTGGTGTTCGGTTGAAGCGAGCCTCCCAGTTTCCTTGGTTGTTTGCCCTGCTCTTGGAATGTGTATATATGGTATGGTTGTATATTTTGATTGTTCGTGGCATGATGTTAATTGTTTAGTTTTCGGGGCTCTGTTCATTGTTAGCGGCTGTAAAAAAATCAGTTCATGTTTTGCAAGCAAATGCCAAGGATTGAAAGTGCTTTGTGGGCAGTGGAAACCACCTGAGAATTGCCTCAAGCAGTGTCTGTTCCCAGGGTGCCTAAAAGCGGCGGTTGAATGGTACCCAGGGCAAACCGACTCATCTTGCTGTGTCCGAATGTATTCCCGACTTGGTGGTCAAATGAACCCCCCATGGTTTGCAAATGGAATCCCACAGGGGTCCCATGAAGCCCTGAATTGGTGGCTTGGGACGTGGGAACCGGGGATAAGCCCCGGGAACACCAGGGCCCCAGTGGTTCCTTGGTTTTGACTGGATGTGGCTTGAGGCCGTTCTCAAACGGCTTCAAACCCCATGCGGCTAGGAATTTCAAGGGCCCTGGTGAAGACCTGTTGGAACCGGGTGGCCACAGGCTCACATGCTTGGACTTCAAGCAAGTCCGTATTCGTGACCAACCAACTCAGGAAGTGAGTTTAAGACTCCGAAAGGTAAAATGAACTGTTTGCCCTCAGACAGGGGTGTTTGAATTCTGAGTTACTCACCCGGTGGAATTTGGCCAAGCTAATAGGCTAGGGAACCAGCCAATTTCCATTTGGTTTTGAAAGGGTTCTCTCGGCGACCTGATATATATATATATATATAGTGGTAAATTGAGATGATGCCCTTTACACAAACAGAGGGGTCCCTTTATGTATTCCATGAAAGCGCAGCACTCTGCGATTTGGCGGCTTCTGCGATGATGCACGACCTCATTCAATCGCATACTTCGCAGACTCTCGTACATCCAAGCACTGAAGACAATCTAGCAACATGGCAGCTGCTTACTGCCTTGTGGAGCAAGAGGGTAACCTAGTGCAACCGACGCCGGGCGTGGCGCCATTTCCAAGGGGCCCATGACAGTCGCCGGGGCACCTTGACGCGACAAGTTGTGCACATCACTTGGGTCCGAAGCAGGAGTCGGCACTCGCAGTGCGAGTCGGAACCTGTGGTGCTGGTTGGTCATTCCGTGGGTTAATCGTAGAAGTGTTGCTCACGCAGCGACCGGAATCTGCAGAGAAGGTCAAAGCGCCACTCGTGCTTTGTCTTGTGTACTTTTCCGCTGGGTGTCTTGATGGTGCTCTTGCTGCTGAATGCTGCGCGGCTTGTTGGCGGCGGAAATTGTTGCCATAGTGAGCGGCGTTGCCGAGCGATCGGCTTTGCTGGCAAGCCATCCAATGTCACAGTCTCCGGCACCTTGCAGACGTTTGCGGCATACCACTCAGGCATTGCAAGGATGGAGCCGATTCTTTTGCCCTGAGGCTTTGGCACCTCGACGGGCAGAGGACACAATCCCAAGTAGCTTTCATTGGAACTGCAGGGCGTGCTCGCACCAAGCTGGCAACAGCTGCGGCATTGTGAACACAGGTCCTGGAGCTGGGCATTTTCTGTCAGATGACAACTGGGAGCAGTATGTTCCTGTGCTGAAGGAGCAGTTTGCCAGCACAAATAAAGGAGCAATGGCTTTGTTCAATTGTTTTGAGAAAATGCCTGTTTGCACAACAAGTGGTGTGATTACCCGGTGGAATTTAGGGAATCTCAGGGAACCTGGAGTCTCCTTCTGACCCTTAACAAGTGAGGTCAGCACCCTTTAAGTTTGGATACGTGACCTCAGTCTTGGGTCAGTCTCAGAAGGAGACCCAGGTAGAATGCAGGAATGGAACCCGCGTGCCCAGGTCCTCTCCTTTTGCGCGCCTCTGGCGCGGCGAGGGGCCAACAGCAGCCGATTCACAGGCGGAATCCGGGGCCATGGCTTCCGTGTGGCCAGATGGGACCTTGCAAGAGGGAAGTAGGAAAGGGCGTGGGAAGAAGAGAAAAGACTTAAGACAACTGGGACGCCTCGCCTAAGAAAAACTGATCCAGTTGGGTTTGAAGACGCATTGCTCGGAGACATGCTTATCAGATGAGGACGGCGAATGGCCCGGAAAAAATAATAATATAACTTGAGTCAGAGTTCGAATACGCGGAATGTTCTCAAAGTGGTGATGGAATAACTTGTCACATTTGGGTGTTCTGCCCAAAATAGGGATTTGGACCCCCAACATGGAGAAGTTGTCATGTTGGTGTTCCTTAAGACCCACCCCAACATGGCCGCCCTAAAACAGCAACACACTCCCATTTGGATCCTGTCCGACGCAACCTTAAAATTAGTTTGCTGATTTATGTTGGTGTCCCTTGAAACATCCAAGATTTGGCACCCATGAATTTCATGGGACAGCTCTCAAACATGGTGGGTACACTCACGCACACACACACATCCCCAACAAATGATGTCCACCATGTCCACAAAAGTGTCCCCCGATTTACCTGTGTCATCGACTTGGTGAGATCATTAAGGATTACCACCTTGTGTTGCAATTCGTCCAGTAATTTCTTCCAGATGGCTCACGGGCTGCAACGGCGCGTGTCTTCATAATTTTCGGCCAAAAAGGGAACTGCAAGCTGCAACTGCAAGCTAGCAATATGCACTGATTTCATTAACCCAATATGGCGCTTAAGCTTGTGGTTACATCAACCCGCATGGTGCTGGTGGAATCCCAGGAATTGTGTTTGTGCCCCCTTGACCCAGTGCTTTAGTATCCCACTAACGTAGGGAGACTGCGGCAACATGTAAAACCTGAGTGTAAACATACCTGGTTGCTTACTTTTGTGGTAAGTGGAACTGCGTGAGACAAACTCATTTGAGCCACACTCAAAACCCAGGTAGCTGAAGGATAGAAAGGGATAATTTTAACCATAAAATGTCATGCAGACGCCTTTTTAGTTCTTTCCATGTTTCTGGGTAGATGATTTAGTACCAGGCTATGCAAGTAGGGAGAAAGACCCCCTCCCCCAATCTATACCGGAATTGATCCATGGTTGTGTGGTCCTGCGTTGCTTTACTTGCTGGTAGGGGCATCCACCTGCCTCTCTCCAAGGTTTGATAGGGACAAGCTTAACCAGAAATGGGTGCTTTGCATCAGATCCTGGAAAGAAACCGATCGGTTTTGACTCAAATCTCCGGCCATTTCTTATGGCTGGGGGGGAGGGTGGGGAGGGGGAGGGAGCCCAAATAAGCCCTAAATAAGGCCTTAATATGGGTTAAATAAGGGTTCTTTTGGAGCTCCCTCCCCCTCCTCTCCCTCCCCCCCAGCCCCCCAGCCATTTCTGTCGCTCAGGGTCTCTGCATCCGGCGCCGGATGCTCCTCTGACACCAGCAGCCGCGGGCACGTCCGCCATGTCCACCAGCCAGGCGCGGGGTGGAGCGGTCGGCGCCAAGTTTTTCGACCAGCACTCCAAACGCCTCACCTGGACCCTGAAACCACCCTTAAAGCAGCGAAATCACCCGTGAAGCTCGGGCAATGTCCCATGTTTGCGGGTAGTTTGAGGGTGCAGGTAGCTGCTTGTTGTCGGGTATCCTGCCAACCCCTGGCAAAAGCAGACATATGTTACAATCAAAACCGTGTTTTGAGTATGATGTCAAGCCCTGATAAGGAACAAACTTGGTTTACCATGGAATCTCCGGGTTCTACGCGGGAATTTGGAGTAAGGTAGTAGTGGGTATCCTCAACATTGTCAGACTTAACTTGACGTTTTGCTTTGCTGCCCTTGTGGGTTCCTCTTTTGTGTTTTCCATCAAACAGTTGTTTCTGTTGCTCGGCCCAGTACCAAGGTCCTTTTTTCGTGGTAGTCTTGGTCTCTAAATGAAGAATCTGATTTCGCGGGGTCTGGGAAAAATAGGATTTGTGTCTCCTGGTCCAGTTGAAGGCCTCAAAACTTCCCGATTGAGGTTCCACGACCACGACTGTTTACAGGATTCACTGGGTAACCATGGACCATGAGCCCACAAAGCAAATCCAGTTTTTGCATCCCCACTTCCGCACCCTTTCTCCCCTGAGCCGCACAAAACCCTCCCCGAGCCTTAGCCTTAGCCAACTTGGTCCGGAGGGACCCAGGGAGGTTTGGCCTAAACGGAGCTATTCCACCGCTGCCCCGTTCAGAGGTTTTTGGTGGATTTCGTGGACTCGAGATCTGACTCACTCTTTTCGAGAGGTCTACTTCACCGGCATCGGCTGGTATCTGATGCATTTCGCCCGCGGCCTCAGCCCCTAGTTGATTTTTGGTTTTATCTTGCGATAAACTTGCTGTGAGGATGAATGCGACTAAGCATGGTTACTGCACGTGCTCACTGCCCCAGTTTATTGGCTTGTTTTCAAAAGTGAAATACTATTCATTCAAGCGGTAAGTACAAAGTCTTTCTCAGTTCTTCCTATGTTCCGGCAGCCAACTCAGTTGTAGCAGAAGGATATACGTGCAAAAACCACCTGCTTTGCATTGGAACCCTCTAAACCAGCTGGTATTAGGGCGTTGTTTGCTCCGAGGGTTCTGACCGCGGACATGTCCGCAGTCGGCCGCTTGCAATTCGTGCGCGCGGAAGAGAATGAGGTGGTCAGCATCGGCAACGACAGCATCATGAAGTTCCTGGGGGCGTCCCGGTAGAATGTCGATACCCAGGGGGGCCCTGATTTTGAGAAAGACCCATTTGTGTTGCAGGTCTTCAACTTGTTTTGCGGTTCGTTGCTCCAATTCGCAAAGTGCCTTTAGGATCAGAAGATGGCCCGATTATCCCTGGAGCCATGTAAATGCCCCCTGGCATTTGGAGATTCATCCGAAGGAATTCAGGTGGGATTTCAGGGGCCAACAACAGGTGGCTCAAAGTCGATTTGCTTGTGATTGTTGCTGTGTCCCGGACATTTTGAAACAAAACATCATTTCGGTGGGATTGATTCATGTCCACCAAGTAGCACTTCCACCAAGTAGCACTTCCACCAAGTGGCACTTCCACGAAGCACTTGTGAGGATGGTTCCCTATGTTAAATTCGTGCCAAATCTCCGCCAAGCACTTGTGAGGTGTGAGGTCCGCTTTTCCATTAGCAGCTTTTTCGAGCCGCCGATCTATCATGTAGGTGAGGATTCATGTCGAACATGGAAATCGCATTCCCGAATTAGTTCCAACAAACATCAGCAGCCAAAGGGTTTGGATACAAGAACATCTACAGGACATGGTTCCAAAACACCGTACATAAGCTGTTTCCCTGTAGAACTTCCTGCAACCCAACACTTTGAAGCAGGCGAGCCGCTCTGGGCATGGGTCAAAATCAAACCACCAGAAAAAACCGCAGGTTTTGGCCCATGTGTCGGATTCCATTTTGCTGCCCCACCGCCTTTTGTTCAGCCGAAGCCGAGCCGATCGGATCGATCCAAGCCAAGGAGACCTTGCCGCCCTTCCAGGTGGTCTTCCTGCGCTTCAGCACGGCCGCGCTGGTGCTGCTGCCGCTGCTGGTGATCCAGGGCAGGAGCTCCTCGGCCGAGCGAAAAGGAGAAGAAACGTTTGCGCCGTGGAGATAACCTCTGGGTTGGTAAGCCAGGTGTGTATTTGTTGAGATAATATATATATATACATACATACATATCATATATATATATACACATCATATATATATATATGTGTACACAATATATATATATATATACATATGTATATACATATATATATATATATATTATACATGTATGCTCAGAGATTCTAGTTAAGCCTCTATGGTAGGTAAACAGGTATGTGTTCCTCCAGGTTTGACATGTTGGTTTCCCTAAGCTCAAAAAGCTCAGCACCACCATTTTGTGGGAGTCACAACATGTGTGGTTTCAGAGTCAGAGTATCCTTGTTTTCAATGCACCTGCTTTTCAAAGATCTTTTTGGAGTAGGGGGTTGTTGGACCTTCGGCTCCAACCGCCGCGGGTATGTGAGCCATCGGTCAGTCGCACAAACGCCGCTATCAGTCGCCGCTATCAGTCGCCGGTAGCTCTGAATCTGAAGGGTTGGAGGTTGGAGGTTTGCAGGGTAGGAGGGAAGGGGGAAGAGGCTAGAGTCATCCTAGACCTCCAACAGGACCTGTTTACCATCTTTCCGGCAGGAGTCAACTATCAAGAAAAAGAGTGCTCATTTTGTCTTCCATGCCCACTGACGGTCTTGGTCTTGGGGGAAGGTTGGTGAAGCACAAAAAGCAAAAAGTCCGGTTACCACAAAAGTAGGTAGCCAGGTATGCCCACCTCAGCCAAGCTGGAAGCACTGGGAAAGACATGGTCGCCTGTTTGGGGAAGAGGAGGCCACGCGCTCCATGCGGTCAGAAATGACTCCCTTGACCTCCGGCTTCCTTGACCATCCGTGACCTCCAAATACCCTCCCTTCTTCGGCTATGATGCTGACCCCTGACTCAAAAGCGAGGTATCTACCATGCAGGGAAAAGCCCCGTTTTTTTTTCCCATTTCACCCAACAAACAACCATTTTTCCGGTTTTGCCCAGTTCACCCACGAAAAACAAAAGGCAAAGCGACGGTTTTCCCGGATCTAGCCTGGGGTCAGTTGGCTTCAGCATGCTCGTGGCCCAGGCGCCTTCAAGTCCGCCAGGCGACCCATGCGGCCTCGAGTCCAGATACACGTCGCTCCCCCCCCCCCCCGCGGTTTTTGTCTGGGGCAATCCTAGGAAAACCGGTTTTTTTGCTTCTTGTTTTTAGTTATGGGTTGAAATACCTGAAAGACGGGCATTTGGAGTGGAGGTTGGGCAGTTTTGTTTTCTTAAGGCGCATCTTAGAGCCAAAGAAGCACACGATTGCTAAATCACATAATCTGGGTGTGAATGTACTGCGTTTCCCAAATGTAAAAAAAAGGGGAGGCTATAGATATGTGTTTTTTTCCCGGACCCATACCCTCGGGGTGGATACCCCAAAGGTAATCTGAACGTTTTGCCTGCGGAGACCAAAGCACCGGCTGTATACTGGATGCTCTTGAACATGGCGGGTTGCATAGTTCCACCCATGTTTGTAAAGATGTTCACTGAAGGATCTTTGTTGATTTTCCGCTGCATGTGGAAGCAGGGAGTACCCCTGCAGTGGTTCGGGAGCGACTGGGCCATTTCCTCCACCTCCCAGTACCCACCCCACCTTGTGAGTATGTCAGGTGATATTACACCTGGCTGTTTTTTGTATTTACCATCCCAGTGATTCCATTTCCTTGTATAGTAGGTAACCAACGGAGCCGCCCTCAGAGAAAAAGGAGGAAGACGGCTTGTCACCTACTATTTGCGTAGCTGGGAGCGGACGTGAACAGCCTGGTTCGGGCAATCGTGGGACACGCCTCATTCGACCCTCCAGAGAAGCTATTGGGTGAGGAGGGACCTCACTTTGTCTGGGCATTTTTGAGGTCCCCTGCGATTCTCAGGGGACTTCCAACACCTAACATAAGATTTGGATCCCCACCTTCTACATCAAACACCCACAAAAAGGCGGATCTGTCTCCAAACCCTAGTTCTCCGGCCATATATGACCTTCAAAGCCGGGTCTTGGTTCCACAAACCAAGTTTTCAATTCAGAACCCATAGAACCCCCACCCCCCGGCCTTGGTTCCACAAACCGGGAACCCCCCGCCCCGTCGCCCCTGCACCCTTCGAAACAAGACCCTGCCGATCGGGTCTCGGGTCTCCGGAGCAACCCTTCAGCATCAGCTGGTTCTACCTGGCCTACTTGGGCTTATGATCAAGCGGAACCCTTATATTTCGATATTTCACGATTTCCCAGTATCATGTAAAATGGCTTAATGTGTGAATTTCTATTATATGGTTCCATTTCTCTCATACAAGTTAATGCAATGCATTGCAAGCTGGCGGACATCGAAGACCCGCGCCGCATCTTGGCCCCGCCCGAAGCGTGCGCCAGGCTCTCCATGCACTTCAGCCGGGGCCTGCTGCTGGCGCTGGGCATCGGACTGCGCCTTGGCACGCATCGGTGTCCCTGGGAAGGGGCCCCCCCGAGTCGATCGGCCCGGGCTTGGGAAAACGCAGCCCAACTGCTTTGTCCCATGTGCAGAATCCCCTTCAAACTGTCCAAAACGCAGTTCCTGAGCCCTCAAACTAGCCCGAAAAAAAGGGAAATCGTATGACTGGGGGTTGCAATATGGGATTTTTTTATGGGGAGTTGGAGGGTGCAGGTTGTTGAAACCATAGTGGTTTCACCAGACAGGGTTGGCGGATTTGGGAGCTAGGGTTTTCACAGCAAAAACCCAAAGCCTTAAGTTGTTTGAAGTCTTTGGGGCGTTTGAGCAGCCCATGTCAGCCACTGTCAAGTTCCCATAGAAGACATGGGACATTGAGAACGAGTTCCCTGATGTTTGCCAGACATTGAGCGAGTCCCCACCCCCAATACCCCAATCCCCACATCCAATGTCTTTCTTTGTCTTTGCGGCTTGCCAAGTGCACTTAGGGCGCGGAGCTTTGGACAAAGAGGGGGGCAACCAAGGGACTATAGACTGCGGGGGAAATGTTGACCGAACCTCATTTATGTAGGGTTCAGGACTCCACCCTCTTGATGCTTTGATCCGGGTTGGGCAACATTTGTTGAGACCATTCCCGATTCGGTCCCACTTTGAAAGCAAACCAAGAGGCGCTTTGTTAGACAGCGTACCCCCTACTCCAAATACCCGCTGTCCCAGTTAGTATATCACAAGATCGCCCCATATTGGGGGGAAATCTGAACAGAGGTGGTGCTTTGGGCTGAACCTCATGCCCTTCGCATCCTGCGTGGACGCCTCAGATAAGAGAGTAGCCCAGGGAGAGTTTCAGGTAGCCGTTGACTTACCTTTGGATTCGGGATTTGCACTGGTTTTCGTAGAGGGTCAATAGGGATACTGCCGGGTTTCGTTCGTTCTGTTCCTTTTTGTTCCCGGAAGCATTGCGAAGGGTTCTTCTTCTAAAAGCGGCTGCCAACTTCACCTGCCAACTTCTCATGCCAACTTGTCGAGAGTTACTTCACCTGCCAACTTCTCATGCCAACTTGTCGAGAGTTACTTCACCTGCCAACTTCTCATGCCAACTTGTCGAGAGTTACTTCACCTGCCTACTTCTCATGTCAACTTTTCAACTTTTCGGGCTGTTATCTCATTCTACTAAAAGCACAAGCTAATTTGTCGGGTGTTACTTCACTATCCTAAAAACACAAGCTAACTTTTCTGTTCTACCTTCACTTCTCGACTCTTAATTCTTCTTCTTTTTATGGCGGGGGTAGGCCCGACGGGAGCTTACGAAACGCACCCCTCTGCGGAGATCGTGCGTGTCGAAGCGCTCTCGCTGTGGCGCCGTGCGAATTTGTCTTGACCTTGGCGAACCCTCTGCGGAGATCGTGCGTGTCGAAGCGCTCTCGCTGTGGCGCCGTGCGAATTTGTCTTGACGCGGCGAACCCTCTGCGGAGATCGTGCGTGTCGAAGCGCTCTCGCTGTGGCGCCGTGCGAATTTGTCTTGACCTTGGCGAACCCTCTGCGGAGATCGTGCGTGTCGAAGCGCTCTCGCTGTGGCGCCGTGCGAATTTGTCTTGACCTTGGCGAACCCTCTGCGGAGATCGTGCGTGTCGAAGCGCTCTCGCTGTGGCGCCGTGCGAATTTGTCTTGACCTTGGCGAACCCTCTGCGGAGATCCTGCGTGTCGAAGCGCTCTCGCTGTGGCGCCGTGCGAATTTGTCTTGAGCCCGATGAACCCTCTGCGGGGATCGTGCGTGTCGGATCGCTCTCGCTGTGGCGCCGTGCGCATCTGTCTTGAGCCCGATGAACCCTCTGCGGAGATCGTGCGTGTCGAAGCGCTCTCGCTGTGGCGCCGTGCGATTTTCTTGCTCGCGAAACGGCTTTTGGAAGTTGTCTCGTGGTGCGCGCGCCTGCTTTCGCAATCCCGCGGTCCCGGGTTCGATTCCCCCCTGGTCCGCGGCAGCTCCGGCTTGAAAATCGCAGCTTTTAAGTACAAACGTAGTACGCGGAGAGTGCTCCTGCAGCTACGGCTGGAAAATCGCAACTTTTAAGTACAGACGTAGTACGCGGAGGCTGCTGCAGCTCCGGCTGGAAAATCGCACTTTTTAAGTACAGACGTAGTACGCGGAGCGTGCTCCCGCAGCTCCGGCTGGAAAATCGCAACTTTTAGATACAAATGGCTGGAAAATCGCAACTGTAAATTGCAAATGTAGCACGCGGAGCGCCTCCGCCGCTCCAGCTTTTTGAGGGTTAATTACTTCACCTGCCAGTTTCTCATGCCGAAACTTCGAGAATTACTTCACCTGCCAGCTTCTCATGCCACCTTTTCGAGAGTTACTTCACCTGCCAACTTCTCGTGCCAACTTTTCGAGGAGTTACTTCACCTGCGAGCTTATCATGCCAACTTTTCGAGAGTTACTACACCTGCGAGCTTCTCATGCCAACTTTTCGAGAATTACTTTACCTGCCAACTTCTCATGCCAACTTTTCGAGAAATACTTTACCTGCCAACCTCTCGTGGCAACTTCACCTGCCAACTTTTCGAGAATTACTTCACCTGCCAACTTCTCATGCCAACTTTTCGAGAAATACTTTATCTGCCAACCTCTCGTGGCAACTTTTCGAAAAATTACTTCACCTGCCAGCTTCTCATGCCAACTTTTCGAGAGGTACTTCACCTGCCAACATCGCCTGCCAACTTTTCGAGAGTTACTTCGCCTGCCAACTTCTCGCGCCAACTTTTCGAGAATTACTTCGCCTGCCAACTTCTCATGCTAACTTTTCGAAAGTTACTTCACCTGCCGGCTTCTCACGCCAACTTTTCGAGAGTTACTTCACGCGCCATCTTCTCGTGCCAACTTTTCGAGAATTACTTCACCTGCCAGCTTCTCACGCCATCTTTTCGAGAGTTACTTCACCTGCCAGCTTCTCACGCCAACTTTTCGAGAGTTACTTCACCTGCCAACTTCTCATGCCAACTTTTGAGAGTTATTTCACCTGCCAACTTCTCATGCCAACTTTTCTCTTGAGTTACTTCGCCTGCCAACTTCTCATGTCAACTTTGCGAGAATTACTTCACCCGCCAACTTTGCCAGCCAACTATTCGAGAGTTACTTAACCTGCCAGCTTCTCATGCCAACTTTTTGAGAATTGCTTCGCCTGCCAACTCCTCATGCTAACTTTGCGAGAGTTACCTCACCTGCATCAACTTGCCTCTATGCTTCCGGGCCACTCGTCGTCTAGTTTGAACACCAAAAAAAAAAACAGTCAGCTTCCCCATGCTACACATTGGACAGGTATCCCGTATCGTGGCAGGCGGTCCGATCATGCGTAATGTTGACGCTGTTCAAGCCTGGTTCTTTCGGTGACTCACTATGATAGCAAATGGACTCGCTATATATAATCGTGGGAAGCTATCGTTAAGAACCTAAGAAACAATTGAAGGATCCACCGCCAATGTACAATGGGGGGGAGTAAGCACTCATAGCTAGTGTAGTTCAAAGCAGGGCCCAAGTTTGGTCGGCAAGTTCGAGTGGCAGCAAAATCCTGAAGTTGATCAGGTGCAGAAGATCTTGGCTTGCAGAAGGTCCATGGACCTACTTCTGGCAATGGTTTGCCTCTGAGGATCTGCATCAAATCGGCTCTGTCAACCAGAAAGGATTCGAAAAAGCAGCCTTGCACTTCTGACGTGCTCATGTTTCTTTCCTCTGATTCTGCCAAGTCTTTTGCTGTTCGGAGGACCGGGGACCTGAATACTCAAGAAACTCCTGGAGGAAACCACCAAAATGTGCCACTGGAACAACTCATCTTGTCCAGGGTTCATCTGGATTCGGTTTGGCAGAGGTTGGGTGAGACCCACTTTGAGCTGATTGGTGACCTCGTGGCAGTCAGAGCGTGTCTGACAAACAGGAGGTTTTGCTTCGAACCCTCCCTCCCCCAACCAACAAAAGCTGAGCTTTCGGTTTTCCAATTTTGGTCTACTTTCAACCACAGCACCCACAAGGTAATCACCTTTCAAGCAGCATGCAATCAGGTTTTCTTGTTGCAAAGTTGACCATCGCGCGCATTTTTCGTCCGCAGCGGTGCAGCCCAAGCTCTTGAGGATGATCCATCCGAGAGTGGTGACTTAGACATGGCAAGCCCGACGTGTGCCAGTCACTCTCTTTGGTACAACTGGTGTTTGTTCCTTTGAAACTCGACTTGCAAGAGTGGTCTTTCTGAAAGCCATGTCGCGCGCTGGCAGACTCTGTGTGCTGTTGGCGCGGTTCCCAGTGATGGCTGAACAATTAACGTACTGAACAGACGGCGCGCCTCTCTTCGACTTGTTTGGGGGCAAGTGGGGGTGCGTTTATAATTCTTGAGGTGCTCTTGTTGGCTTGTACAGGGAATCCAAACAGAATTGGAGGTCCCTATGGACACACTCAAGTGAAAACGGGGCAACGGTTTCTAGGGCCCAAGCTTTGATGTCTTACAGGTTTTGCATTGGTTTGGGTGTTGGGGTTTCGTTGACTAAATGGCTGGCACGGTGTATCAACCAGTGTTGGCAGTGGCACCCGGAAACTTCTATGTTTCACCAACCAGAATGGAGAAACTTCCCAAAGAAAGTCCTTTTTTTATGGGCTAACAAGAAACCGCTTGCATTTGTTGTTTATGACCGAATTGGTGAAATCGCTTGCTGAAAAACATGTGCGAAGAGCTGGGTGTGTAGGACTGTTTTATGGTTTTGAGAGTTACTAGCCTGGCTGTTTGGTTGGATATTGAGAGTTACTGGGGGTCACCAGACATGGTGGGAAATTGGGCTATAGGTTGCACTTTATGGTGAAGATTCTCACATTAAAAAAATCAGTTATGGCCCCACTGTATCACAAGGGCAATTTTCCATATCCGTGCGAGCCAGACACAGGTGGTTTGTTCAGTTACCACGTTGAAATCAATAAGCCTTTCGGTGATTCTTAGCCCAAGACTCACCGGGGTTTTTATTTCCCCGAGCCGCGCATAACTTTAGGGTGGGTCCCTAGGGTTGGGTTGTTCATATTCGAATCTGTCACCCCACGGCAAGCTCTGGACATGTTTGTTGCCGACCATGTATCTGCATATCACATGCCAGGCTTTCACCGGTTTTGGAGGTAAACGAGTTCACCATGATGTAGGTCCTTTACAATGAAAGCTCCTTGTTGCAGGTTTTGGAATGATTGCAATGTTTGCGATTGTATGGAGATATCACAGAAACAAAGAAGTGCCCGTTGCACACGAGGTTTTGGGCAAAAGAAGACGACTTGCGGATGACCCACGCAATAGTTTTATCTAGAATATCTGCTTGGGCAGCTCACCCTACCTCGGTCGGCATGCTGGTCTTTCATTGTTCATGGCTGGCATTTGGTGTTACAATATCTTGTTATATTTTTGTTGAAACAAATGGATTAAACCTTTTGTTGCAGAGAAGAAGGAGCAGCCCGTTTGAGTACACAGTCTTAAACCTACAAGGATTCCAAGTACAAACCCCACTCCAAATATCCACGCCCTTCGCTACGCAGGGCCGGTATTCACCAGGGAAAGCTCGGCTTTTCAAAGAGTTTGTTTCAAAAGAGCAAATAAACTTCGGCACTGTTATTGTGTTTCTCCATTTCAGGCAACAACAAATTTATCATTTCACCCAAACACGCTCAATTAGAAAAAACAACAACACACTCAATGGGAAATTGGTCTGGAGTGTGTGGGCCGCTCATGTTCCTGGAGCAATCTGGCCAAATCAGGGGATGTCCAGACGGATTCGCCCCGCGAGGTCGCA